AGGTAACGCATAAGATTGATCCGTGAGACAGGATGGAAGTCTTCTATCTAAACTTTAAAAAGGTCTTTGACTCGATCAAACACAGGTTGATGATGCGGAAGCTTCGGCGGTTTGAGCTGACTTCAAAGAGAGAACAACTAATACGCAGTGTCCTAGATGCTCGGAGCTTCCCGGTGAAGATTGAAGGGGAAGTCTGTCACAAATGGAAACTTCGTATTTGGGTCCCACAGGGGTCGGTGCTGGGTCCACTCCTGTTCCTGATATACATTAGTGAATTGGTTGAGGGTTTGGAGTATCTATGTCTCCTTAGCGCTAACGATATAAAGCTGATGGGAAGCCCCAACTCTGGGGCCATCCTGAGGGAACTAAACAAGATCTATGAATGGTCTATGCTAAGTGACCAGCCGCTAAATATCAGCAAATGCCAAAGACTCATTGATCAGCAGGAAGAGAGGCGGGATAAATATCCTAGATCACCAGGCATAGGTGGGTAACTGGAGATTGTTAGGGAAACCAAAGATTTTGGTAGTAAGGTCCAGGCCAAATTCAAACCAACTGCACAGTTTCACCAGGCGGCAAAATGGACACTATGAGCTCTCTACCAACTGAAGAGAGCAATGCGCTCCAGAAGGCCGGAGGTTGTACTACCACTGTACAAGGTCTTCTGGAATACTATGTCAGACCTGAATCCCACATCTAGTCAGGAATATAAAAACCCTTAAGAAGACAGTGTTGTTTGGCTTTTTGTTCTCAGGAATAAAGATATTAAGATAGATTGAAGAGATGTGTTCTTTTCTCACTGGAGAGGAGAAGAAAAAGGGATCTGATTGGGACGTTCAAACTCCTCGAAGGATTCAAAGACGTCGGGGAAGAAGAGAGACCACTACTGTCTTTCAGCGAGAACCCAAACCTTAGAGGAAATGACCTCAAGTTAGCTAAGGTCGGGATGTTCACCCTAATAAGACGGCAAGTTTCAGTTTTGGTATCTACAACCATTAACCATGCACTTTTATGGGCCGGTTTTGGTTGCTACCTTTTGGCCGCCTATCCGGAAGGAGAATGGAAAGGTCAAGAGTAGAGTCAAAGGGAAGATGGAGAATTCATATAAACTGCGGTTGCAAGAATAATAAGTAGATTCATGAGAACCACTGTTTGCGACACTCAGTCATATCACTCAGCTTCTTTAACCACCGGTTACTATGATCTCCGGGTCTCCATCCAGAAATCATAACGGGATCTATGCGACCAAATCTCCTAATTAGGGTTTTCATACCCTCATGCTAGGTCTCAGTCTGACCGCCCTTGATCTTTTTCCATAAAATGCCTGCCTCGGCAAACATCTCTCGCCGCGGTGACCTATTTGGTGGCATGCGCAGCACATGTTCCAACCAGCGTAATCTATGGAGGTCGCCTACCTACTCTAGTGGACGATCACAATTACCTAAAACTCTACGCCTTATCTTATCCTTGCTCGTATGGTTTCCACACCAGACTCGTGCACTGCGATGTAGGCGTTTGAACACCGACAATCTATATTCATCCTGTTCCCGTAAAGGCAATATCTTTCCACCGTATAGCAGAGCTGGCTGAACTGCTGCAGTATACACTCGAACCTTCACTGACTGTCGGATGTCGCGATTGGGCCACAGATGTCTCAAGTTGGCGAATACCAAACGTTTTCCATAAGGGTGGTGAATTACTGAAACGAAGTAGTCAACTCCAATTCGGTGAAGGGCTGTAAGACCCACCTGGAATTTGAATTGGAAGGCCTTTTCACCGAAGAAACCGCCAGAGTAACGTAGTTGTCTGACAGCTCTACTCCCTCCCCCTCCCCGAAATAATCTTCCCCCCTCTTCGATTTATTCTCACTTCAATCTTTATCTCCTTACCAATTGCTTTTATCTTTCGTTCATTCTGCTCCATCCCATATCCTTATCACATCCATCATTATTAGATCACTGATTTTCCACTAAAACTTCCCAAGCTTTTGGGCCGGGATTGTAACTTGGTCGATGCCGGTGTCAGGTTCTGCTGCCCTGATTCATAAAGGAGTGGCCGAAATGTGGCTTGAGAGTGAAAGGTCAATACCCAACTCCCCTGAAGTTTTGATCGCAACATTCAAGAAGAGTCATCTCCCTCTTACATCTTTCGCAGAACTGGAGGATCGCTAAAGCTTACCGCTGCAAGAAACTGAAATAAATGGCACACCGCCGTCAACGTCCTGGAACTGAAATAAACTGAACTAAATCTCGAAATGCAATCTAGCTACAAAAGCAATTAAAGCTCTCGACCATCTGTAACTGATCACCACAGACGATGAGAGCCAGCACAGAATTTTATCAGTCTTTTGAAAACGTTGCATTAGGATGATGTAAACCACAAAACGTTCATCGATAATTATATCGACTAACGGTTTAAGGCATATTCAATTGTCCATATATCTTCAACCGTAAATATATATAACGAAGATAATCGCACAAGCAGAACACAAAAGGGATCAGTTAGGAGCAGAAAGAATACCGTTTTCCTTCGTTTACTGCACGCGATTTCTACATTTCGGTGTTTATATTTTTGATACTGCATAAGAAAAAGGTGCATTAACGTTAGCGACTTTCGTTCAAGGTCACATCCTGCAGTGTATCCTGTCCACAAAAATTTGAGTCATAGGAGCCCCAAAAAAAAGCCAGATCCGACCGCACTCGTCGCCAAGAAACCTATTGGTAATGATATGCTTTTAGGAATTCGGTTCCTTGTTCAACTCTACTATTTTCTGAGCTAAAAGCGTTATTTGCAGAAAATCCTCTATAGAAAAGTTGAAAAGGAATCAGGATATACGATATTCTTGTTGCACTCTCCTAGAGACGAAAAAGGTTGTAAAAGCTAACCATTGACGCCAACCGGGTGGCAGCTTGTTGAGATATTGTTGGGCATAAAAGTGATCAAACTATTGTTTCTTCATTGCATAAATAAGCGCAAAGATTCACAGCTAAAGACTTAAAATTGATTACCCTGGACTACGAAAACCAATAAGTTGTTCCCATAGTGAAGTAACAAACATAAATTTAAGAGGGAAAAAATGATGAATTCAAAATTCAAAAAGTTGCAAACAACAAAATGCCCAGGAACAGACCGTTATGTATTCTAATTTTAGTAACTGAAATAAATCCTGAATCTTGGGACTGTGTTTTGTCCAGACTTTACGAACACAATTGTTAGAATTCTGATATACTCGAAATAATGGAATCAATTTAAATGCACGGAGTTTTGTGAGAATTAAACTGAAATGCCTTCGATGACTTTTATCATTTGTGTATAACTCTAGGAAGAAGTGGAACAAACCAAAATGGAACCAGGTCTAATTAACGAACCGTATTTAATGGATGCAAAACAATATACATTATAGGGGTCATCAAAATGTCTTCCATAAATGTCCCATTTTCATCTATAAAAATTTAAATCGAATCAATTTTGTGTAGTTGAGCGCTAGTTATAGGTTTAAGTAAAGCAGAAATTAGCTCATGCACACAGCTTTTATAAAATAATGATAATCTTACTGTTCCTTTATGTGTTGACTCACTTCAGCGCCTCCCAGTGGCGATAATTCATCAGCGTGAAAGTTTATGTTAAGACCAATGCTTTTTCCGGCCTCCAAAATTCTCATACTTTGATCCAAATCAAAAACACCTGGGAATTCGCATGTTTTTTATTGCAATTTTGGCGCCTACCTCTTTCACAAAAGACATCTATGTTGTCTACATGAACTTCCCCTTTTTCCATCAATTGTTTTAACTTTGGGATCTGTTCTGTGAGGATGCATTCCGTGAATCGATTCGAGTCCATTTCCCTGCCGATAATTGTATTAGAAGAAATAAATTAACGAATCTAACTTTGGTACTGAGTGTGCTGAAAGAAACGTTATGGACACGTCAACAGGGAGCTCAGCTTTCGCTCTGTTCAAAACTCGCAGTAACTTTTCTTCTGCTGGCCAATGTAGCCCGTATCCCGTTTTACATTCCAGGGTGGTAGTTCCTTTCCGAATCATTCTCTTTTAAATATATTGGAAAATATATTTACCTTTATCCTGTCTTTTAGTAAGCCATACAGTACTTCTTCGGAAGCTTGTGAAGTTTTAGTGACAGTAAACTGTATCCCGCCTCCAGTCTCATGAATTTCCATATAAGATGCACCTTTTAGCTTTGACACCTATCAGAAAGCAAGAAGTGCTTACCTTCAATGTAAACTCATGTAAACGATCTCCAGCCCAAGCAGGATGAGTGTGTGCGTCAACAAAGCCTTCAAAATAGATAATTTTTGAACGTATTTTCGAACCTGGGATAACGCATCCTCCTTTGCAGTCAATCT